TATATATATATGTGTGTGTGTGTGTGTGTGTGTGTGTGTGTGTATATCCATTCTAAATGGTTAGAAAAATCAAAAGGAGTATTTATGTACGTCTAAAAAAAATATGAATTAATTAAGCTCTTTTGTAGCATATACAGATTTGGGAGTTGTAGATCACATCAGGTTACATTTTGCTTGATAAAAACATAAAACACAAATACACATTAACAATATTAAACTTTCCATTAAGTAAAAGAAAGAAAAGCATAAAATATATCAAAAAACGCTTCTTGTAAGGCTGTGAGTTGTTGTTTGACATTAAGCACAAAGCTACACAATGGCCTATCTGTGCTGTAAGGCTATGAGACCACTTAAAATAATAAAAATCTAACACCAGCTTTTGTTTTATTTAAAGTACAAAAACTTTCACAAAAGTAAAATAGAAGTGTTTTAGCTTCTTGGAATTTTTACTGATTGGTTTTTCTGAACAGTGTTCTTTATTTGTATCAAAATGTCATACTATAGCTTTTTCAAAATAGGGTTTGTGTGGTCATCCATTGCACTGTCTCCAGTGTTGATGTTCCTCCAGACTCTCCACTGCATTTCCTCCCTTTTTTTTTCTTCCAATAGAGTCTTGGAGTCCTTACCAGTTTCTAGTTCCAAGCTGCTGGGGTGGTGAACCATGGAGGTATCCTCCAGAATATGATGATGATACAAATAATGATAAAAGCATTCAGTTGAGAGTAGGGCAGTGGTGTTCTGCTGGTGTAGATGATGAGATGCTCTTCAATCTGATGCTTCATTTCTGTATAGGGGATCTGAGGGGATGTGGTAGCTTTGGAGTGAACTGTCAAAATTGTTGTTCACCCCCTTCAGTTGAAGTCCCTCATCCTATCCCCATGTGGATGTTGGTTCCCAGTGGCTGGGTTTTGGTTTCAGAGCTGAACCAATCAACATAAGTGTTAACACATCACACATGTATTACAGATGTCCTCACTAAATTAAACTCTTGTTACTCCATCTGTGTTGTGGGTCACGATGGAGGTACTTGCAGATTAATATAGTTCTTCTTCTTATGCTATCCCTCAAATTTATTATACTGAGGATGTTATTGCACTAGAGGCAGTTCCTGTCAGGTTGGTTTCGAGAGAGATAGTTTACATTACAGAAACATCTTTACTATACCAATCATCCGGATGTCGGGTTCCCAGATCGGTCAAACAATTTATTACATTGCTATCACATGTCTCGTTCATAGATCGTGGTGTATGAGATACCCTTCTGTCTGCTGAGCTTGAGGTGAAGTTGGTATGATCCTCTTTCCTACCCTCACATGAATGTCAGTTCCCGGGGAGTGGGTTTTGGACTGTAGTTGACTTACTGATGGTATGATCCTCATCCTACCCCCGTGTGGATGTCAGTTCCAAGCGGCTGGGCTTTGGATGCAGTTGACTTGCCGTGTATGGTCCTTTGTGCCCTAGCCACTCTACACCTAAAGGTGCATCCTTTTACTCTCATCCACTTTGATGTACTCTATGGGATTGAGATTCCAATATTGTGTGACTCGGTTCCCTATCCAACCATTGTTCTCTCCCTATTGGATTATCAGGGGAATTGATTAGATACAAGTCTCTGTGTTATTCTGCTATATTCTATAAGCTAGTGGGACAAGAGGACCCAAGTTTGTGATTGGAAAAGAGAGGTTAAGGGTTGATTGGCTTTATGCAATGAGTTGCCATTAGCAGTAGTGGAGACCAGCACTTTTGAAGAGTTTAAGAGAATGATCAATGATTTTTGAAAAATAAAGGATGGTTTTGAAATTTCTACTCTTTACAAGAGTGGATGAGCAAGGAGAGCTTTGAGGGACCAAATGATCCCTTGTTGTCCATATGTTGTGTTAAAACAAAATTTAGTAGGAAATTAGTTTTTTAAATTGGTAATCATTCCATTTTTTATTCTGGGTCTAGTTTACACATAAGATAATTAATGTTTTAACAAGTAAAGTTTATCCCAAAACATAAAGATGTGATAGGTACTAAAAACTGAATATCTGATAGAGAATATAAACAAAGAAAATCATCAAAGTAAAAACTGAGATACTTGCATGTAAACAATAACTTTACATAAATCTGATGAGAGAGAGACTTCTGTTTTGGTAACATAGAGGCTGAAAACTTAATGTTCTTTATTTTTTTAAATTTACAAAAACATTTGATGCACTTTATTTAAAATTAAGAAAACTAGTTAAGTATTGTATATGATTTAAAGTGGTTTACTCTGTTTTTGCACAATAACAATTTTTTTTTCAGAGATGGTTCTGATTATATAAAAGTATAGTTTTGATGAAGGGTAATGTTAAATCATGAATCTAATTTTTTGTGTAAAATAATACATGTAGCCGTATGGCTTAGTCCCCATCAAATTTACTTAAGTGTGTATGTATATTTATAAGTTTGACAGTCCAGTTTCATTTTTGTTTATTGTTTCATTATAGGGTCATGGCTTACTGGAAATGCCTTCAGGAACAGGGAAGACTATATCTCTCTTATCATTGATTTTGTCATACCAGAGAGTGAGTCCTTTTTCATGACATAAATTTTAGGCTATTTCTTTCCTGCAGGCCATACCTTATTTATTCAATCCAAGACATGGCAGGGCTGGACAGCTATCCCCTTCTGCTTTACCCATGAAGTCCATGCGTGAGTATGGTCCAGAATGGGCATATTTATTAAGCAAATATATCATGAGGAAAACCTACTAGCAATCTTGTGGAACACCCCATCTCAACAGTGTGCATTTAATGGCCATAGAAATTATAATTGTTAAATCATCATGGCCTTAAAGTGCAAATTTGACTAGTTTAAGTATACCTGGATAAGCACCACTTACCACAGAATGGGATCCATAAATAAAAAAGGGACATGTCCCTGAAAAATAAGAAGTACAGTATATATACAAAAAAGTATCTTACCCAGTTACAGTCTCACTGAAGAGTGAAGGATGGTGACAGGTGGAAGACAGTACTCCGATGAGGAATAAACAGCTACCCAAAGCAGATAATTGGAGATAAACATATGAGGTGTAATCCCAGTGCTCAATGGAAGAAGTACCTCCAACGTACGACGAGAGTGAGATGCAGGTAAAAGGGAATGGGCTTAGTCAGAGTGAAAAAACCAGGAATTGATTCTAGGGAAAAAGGAAACAAGGAAGAAAAGGCCAATAGAATCAAAAGCCAAATCCAAATGGTAGGGAAGGAAGGAAACTGTCACAACCAGTGGAGTGGTGCTAGGGAATGAAGCAGCAGGAAAATGAATCAACAGAAAGAAGCCTTGAAGGCACTGAAGCAACCCAGAGAAGGTATGGGACCTCTAAGACCAATCCAATCTGACTGGGATTAAAGGTGGGAGATGGAAGGAAGTGAAAACAAAAAAAAGGAAGAACCTGCCCCAGGAGCTGCCAAAGTGGAGGGTAGGAAAAAAAATCAATCCAGAACAAAAAAAATAGATTGAGCTGAAGCAGCTGAAAAAAAACAGATTTGTGTCAGCCAAGAAGGAGCAATCAGAAAGACCTGACACATAGTGGCACGGATAAATGAAATAATCCGGGATAGATGATGAATGGGATGAGAAAATAAAGGTATAAACAGGCCCCAATCCTGTCTGAATGCATCAACAGCCACAGCAATTGAATGAAGAACTGGAGACAAAGACGTACAGATCTGAAACAAGCACAAAGGCCAAGGCACAAAACTAGTACCCAATTCCATGGTAAACAAACTGAAGATAGTGCCATGAGGGATGTAAAATAGGAAC